GCAACGAGGTCAACCCACTTCACATAGCCTTGCTTTAACAAAAGTTATTCTCATCTCGCATAAACTGCATTTTCTACCTCGCCTAGGTCACATTAGCGCTCCAAGCGAGACTCGAATCATCCAGTGCAAACGTAAAGTCTACTCATATCATTCATCTACTCAACGAAATAGGGTGAATAAATTGATTAATTTATTGTTGGTCCTATAGTGACTCTAGGAAGCTTCAGGAAATGCATATAGTCCGACATTTATCTGCTTACCACGGCGGAGGATTCAGGACACGATGCGATCATAAAGGTTGGTTGACAACTCAGTTAAGTTGCGAAAAGCGGATCAACTCATTCCCATCAAATGATGTTGAGGCATACCGGTTTCAATGGATTTCTTGTTGCCGTGATAGAGACTGTGAGTTCAATGAATTGATGAGTGTGCTAGACATTTGCAGTGAATTTCATTTCGCCATACAGCTCACAAGTCCGTTTTCATCCACATTGGCTGGCAGTTTCCACCTCGTCTCATCGTCGCCTCAGCAACCCCAGGAGAAGTTGAGAGTTGGAATCGCGGGTGAGCAGGCAAGCGCACAAGCCTAGTCCCATTGTCTAGTGCTAAGAGGACTTTCAATGGGAATCTGGTCACTCTTAACCCTCATCATTGTCTATGCATTTATCGACAGATCATTTTTTCAAGTTATCAGGAGGATTATTGTTGTCGAGGTATTCCAACTTGATTGAAATCTTGTTTAGCCGATAGCTCTATATTTGTCGTCAATGTCAGTTGTTGTTAATATGCACCAGTTTCTTATGGAGTTCTAGGACTTGATGGAGTCCGTCCCCGACTAATCGACTCCAATTCTTTGGTATGCATTGAAATTCACTGCGTCCTTCATACTGAAAAGCCATTCTCATCTAAGCTAAGGCTGCAATCTTCCTCTTGCCTGGCTTGATTTAAGCTTTTGACTTAAGGTTGAGAGGAAAACACGTAGGCTCCTGGAAACACTAACACTATGCATATGTGTATCTGTGCCGGTTCGTGTGTATCTACAACTCAAAAACTATAACTTTCAAGGCCTCTGTCAGCTGACATCCCTCATAGCGACTTATATTTTGATAGGTTACCGTCTATTCGTCATTTAACTCAGTGTCTTAATAAACTGTTTAAAGATGATAACCTGTTTGCGTCTGAGCAAGGACACCTAAGGTGTTCAGATAGAGCCCAACAGTATGAAAATTTAGGCCTATTTAGAGGCAAGACTGAGAGAAATTTAACAGAATAGTGAGGTCTTCTTTTCTTTTCATTGTAAAGAATTACTCACTTTTAGCAAACGGAGATGTTTTGAGCCCTTATTCTGAATACGCTGATAGTTTCAAAGCGTACACACTACACAAACGGTGAGGCTATCTGAAAGTGACAAGCCAAGTTTAACCAAATAAGAATTATAGAAACACCTACACGAAATGGTTTTATCTCTTTTTCCCAACTTGTTCATGTTGTCGGAGCAACCTAAATGAACGCAATTTGTCCAAAGTCATTTGCTGTAGTAGTCATGGCAATATCCAGGTTCGGATCGTGGAGGTGGTGCATGCCCAAACGTTGTCAGTCTTAGCACTAAGCTACAACTTGTCAAATAAACAGGTGAAGTCCGATCCTTGACTAACTGTCTTCCGAACGATTGTGTTATCACTTCCCCTTACTCATTCTCTATCAAAAGTTTTACCTTGCCTATATTCTATTACTAAAAATGTTTGTTTTTTTGCGGCGATTTAAATGGGGCGTTATCACACCTCTTGCTGGGTTCCATTGCCCTCTGTGAATTTATTTTGGTATTAGAGTAGATTTTCGAGACTACCAGTAGCCGAGTGGTTCGCGTGTAAAGCTCCCATCCTGCATTGTCGCGGTTCGACTCCCGCTGAGGGTGTTGATAAGACCGATGTGAGGTCGGGACTGCACTCCACCCTGGATGAAAACAACTTTTGGGAAAGCAAGGCTATGTGAAATTTAATGGAAACGTCAGCTCAACTCATATCA